AGTTATGTATAATATATTACATTTCTGACTGTATATCCCTGTAATTATTACACACTGTAGCTTTAAATCAAAATAAAAATGTACATTAAAGTTCTTAATTTGATAAAGTTTCCAAACTGAAGAAAAAACAAACAGCATTGAAATGCTTTTGAGTAAACAAATATATACAACTCTTAAGTAGGTGTGAGCCAGTAATTAATACTACCAGGGTCTAAACAGGGCATTTGAAAATCTTCTTAAAAAAATAAGAAACTAAATGTCATTTTATTGTCTAAAATCTCTTCAAATAGACAACAGAAGAATCATGTGAAGGAATGTGGAGCACAAACAAAGTAGGGCAGCACTGATTACTGGGCTGAAAATGTAGTTTCATGTTTCTATCACAAAGGAAAAACACAGTTTAGAGTAAGCACTGTCATTGCAGGAATTACGTTTTTTTTTACGTTTTAAAAATGATCAATTTGACAATGATATAGATTTTAATCTCACATAAATAACACACCATCCTCACATAAGACCATCTCTGCTTTTGATGCCAGCACTGCCGGCTAAATAAGCCCTTCTAATGAACTAACTGTGGAAAATTAAGTATTGGTCGGTAAACATTAAAGATGTTTGAGGTACTTCCAAAAATACGTTTGGGTCACCTCAGAGAAGCATACTCTGAGCTGAGGTATGCAGCATGGCCTGCATGACTAAATTCAAAACTATAAACACTGAATGAATAATAAGTGACAAGATTTATTGAATACAAGGTCAAAGGACTCACATCTTCATTTCTTTATTCGTCTTTCTTGAACTTCCCATTAACGTACGGCACATAGTCTAGAATTAACCGCCAGTCAGTGAAGTGAATGAGCGCCACGCCGCCAACTGTTCCCCAGGTAACCATAGTTGGTAACCTAAATAAAGGAAGACAATGGGACTTCTAAATAAGACTGAAATTGAACAACAAAATATAAAGCATTTTGTTGGGATAAATAGAAGTTATGTCAAAAGTATGCCATTGTTCACAGCAACGCTTTAACACCAATGTGAGACCATCATACTTGTCCTTTTAACATAGGAGCTATCCCATTCTACATCTGTTAAGTTTACCATGACGCTGGCTTCCCCTCTGCAGCTAAAACAGCTTCAACTCTTTTAGGGAAGCCTTCCACAAATTTCCACTTATGGGATTTTTTTGACCATCCTTCCTGAAAACTATATGTGAGGTTGGAAAGTGATCTTGGATAAGGTTTGGCTCACATGTTCCAATGCAACTCATCCCACAAGTCAGCATTTAGGTCAGAACTAGTATTCTGCCACACTGAACCTGCTAATTTATGTCTTTATGAGTCTTGTCATGTTGGGCCAGAAGAGGGACATTCCCAAGCTGGCAGTAAGACATTTGGCCCATGAAAACATCAAAACTGTCTTTGTTTACCAAAGGCTTACCATTTTCTTTGACTGGAAGTAAGATAAGCCCACCCTCTGCAACCCCCCACCAAAATCCCGTCTGCATCAAACTATAGACTTGGCACAGCATAAACCAGAGATGTCCATTGGTTGGCAGGAACGTGATGCATCACTCCAGCAGCCATGTCTCCACTGATCTAGAGTAAAGTTTAGAGGCTGTGCTTAATCTTCATACATCCTACTTTTTAAATTGAGGTTTTGGTTATATAAATCTCTTAACTAAGGTGTTTGCAGTGTTTCAACTAATCTGAAGGTAGCAAGTAGTTTAAAATCTGCAGCTGAAGAAACAGCTGATATTTGACAACCTGACTCATTTTATAATTGATGCTGATTTGTTGTAAGACAGGTTATTGCAAACCTTACCTGTACACAAATAATAGCCAACTGCTTCGATTATGGCAAACTTTGAAGTTGCAATTATTGTGTCAGGATTTTCTTCACTAAATAACAAGGTAATGATCATTTATTCTAGGGCTGCAACTAACGATTATTTTTTAGATTAATCGATTAATAATTGGTTAAAAAAAAAGGTTCCTTAAAGAAGACTTTTGGCAAAATCAAATCAGGTGAAACTAAAACTTTTCCCCTTGAGGAGTTCTGGATAGAGCATATTGACAGAAAAAAAAAGCTTTACCTTAAATGCAAAATGTTTACATATTTGTTTCGATATAGATACTGCTCTAAGTGGGTCGCTCTGTCAGCTAAAGGCATGTTTTATATCCAGTTATCGATTAATTACGATTCATTGTTTCAGCACTAATTTATTCCCTAAAATAATTTTCTTGCTTAAAATATTTACTTCACGGGTAAAACAACATTTAAGTCAATTTCAGTTGGCTACTTTGATGGTTGTATCAATATGTCTTATATTCACGTTTTAAATAGAAATTAATTACTAAGCATTAAAAACGCCAACAAAAAATAACACAAAATGCATTTAATTATTAAATATGGAACACCTAATGGGATTATCAGATAAAACAATGACACCCTGGCAGGTTTAGAATATTTTTAGGTCAGGCTATGTGAGCATTCAACACTGGTACCGTTTAGTCTACATTTGATTAATAAAATTACACCTGGACTTAACCCCAATAAATAAACGGCGCAATGGAGCAGGTTTAATTCAGTTTCAGGCTAAGCTAAAGTTAGCCAAACGGGTCACAGAAGGACACAGGGTCAGCAACCGCTACCCAACCAAGCTAATTAGCAATAAAGCTCAGCCTCTTATTGTTTTAACTTACCACGTTCTCAGAATAGAGACATACTTGGCACCAACGAATTTATTGAGTATTTTCTGAACCATTCTGATCTTCTAGAAAGCTCTTCCCGACTGGAGAACCGCCGCCGTCAGTTTCGATTGATGGATTTAGAGGACCTCAGCACGAGCTGCCCCTTCTAATGCCTGTGTAAAAGTATACAGCGTTCATAATTTGTATCGAGTTTAGCTCAGGCTGAATTCTGGACACCAGTCATCCCACTGAGCTTTGGAGACATTTTTCAATAAAAGCCTCCGTTTTTATAAACTATATGATGGGATTTAACGATAAAATGAATTCCTTACAATTCCTTAGGGATAAAAAAAAGGGAAAATAATCAGTTAAGTGCAATTCTATAAATTGCACAATCTTCAACAATTCAGGCAGAAATCTAAGTGTTTTTTTGTCTGATGGCAGCAGTTCAAACATAGGATGTGAGGAGTTGCATAGTAGACCTAAGGTCATATTGAGATTCTTAGATCCCTTTACTATCTGCTGCAGGGCTCTCTTAGTTCATCACATTGCAAGGGAGTTCCTGTCAATCATGTCACAAAAGGTGCACATTAGTGGTCAACCCACTCAACCACAGCTGTTAACTGATTGATACCAATAGAATTATTTGAATGATAATGGTGACTTTAAAAAAATCCCACATTAGCTACAAATTCCATGCACTATTTGGAAGGAGATAATTTTAATAATGTCACAGACTTCTTTACAGGCAAAGTAAACCACTATAGCACATTAGATAAGCTGACTAAAGGAATTTTATTGGGAAGTTGAGTGGAAGGAAAAGATACCCAAGCAATAGAGCCACCGCAGTACCTAGTGCATCGGCTTTAGCATTTCATCTGTTAAAATAACAGAGAATACCCAAAAAGTTCAAATGGTGACAAGTAGATTTAGTTTAACTAAAACTACATTTAGCATCACATCAGAAATCAAGGTCCAACAGTCTGGAGGAAGAGTAGAGAGGAATCAGTTATCAAAGTCAAGGGTAGCATAATCCCATAAGCATAATTTAGAGTAGATACCAACACCTAGTGTGTAGCTTATATGATGAGAGACCAAACATTGCAGAAAAATTGAGATCATTGTAAGGAACCTGAGCTTTTTCAACCTCTTAGCACTTAGACTAAAAACCTCCACATTACTCATCAAGGCATCTTTGTTTTAAAAATTCTATGTGTCATGTAATATAAAAAAAATTTTAATAAGTAAATTTTAAAAACTTTCATTACTCATAAGATAAATATGTTCACTTTCAGACAAGTTTAATTTTAAAATCAAATAAATCAACTTTTGATATCTAATTTAATGAAATTGACCTGTATTTGAAGATTCCTATCAGATGCAATTAAACAAATTCAACTTCCGAACTACATAAATTCTTTTATTAAAAAGACTCCTTTTATTTTTTTTTATGTATACAATATTCCAAAGCCAGACATTGTAAAATGTATAATCTGTTGTTAAAAATGGCACATTTATTGCTACATTAAGTGGTATATACAGGACAAATCTCAGCTATTTGTATGTAAATAGAAGAGATCGAGTCAGAAAGAAGCCAACACTCTCCTCAACCCAGATAATAAAAAAAAAAAAAAAACTCTAAATGTTTGAAATACTTGTTGGTCGCGTCCCTTTTTAGTTCAGCTAAATAATGTCATGGGGGGAAGAAAAAAAATTGTTTTTTTCGTACTAAAAAAAAATACAAAAATCAGTGCTCGCTATTGTTAATGGAAGCCGAAACCTTAAGTTTTGGAGAAATTTGTCGAATTTGTGAGTCTATATATTTTGGGCATGTCAGTTATAAACATTAAGACATTTTTCGTTGAATTTCAGATATCCAGCACAACTACTGATTTTAATCAAATGAATCTGACAGAAATCCTTGAGTCAACGCCACAAAAAATTGAAAAAATTAACTGAAAATGATAACTGATTACACATAAAGCCACTGCAAAACAAGTAAAAAAAACGCTCCTATTAAAATGACTGAACTAACGTAGGTATAAAAAAAAAAAAAAAAAAGAAATCCTCCCTACATGGAAGTTGAAGCAACACACCTACAACATACCCAAGCAGATAACTGATCTGAGGAAAACGGCAGTCTTTTTATAACCTTGTCATATGAATGTTGTAATTACAGGGCACCAAAACCTGGACCAGTGACCTCAATGAAAACAGCAGGCTGACAATGTAATCCAGTTGAAAAGACAGCAGAGAAAAAAAGAAATAAACTAAACAAGATCTGCTTAACATTTATTTATTTAACTAGGTACACTGAAAGAAAATCTCTTTATACCATTTAAACTTCTTCCTCAAAAATTGAAAAGAAAAAGAAAAACATTTGGAGAAAAGGGAGGATGGGGGGGAATGAACAAGTACCTCTTTAATCTCCAAGATAAATGAAATGATATGGTACACAACATAAAACTGTCTTAAATGGAAAAAAAGAAAACACAAGTTCAGGCACTGATAAGGCATCACTCTCCCATTGTGACATCTTAAGTCTTGAGAATGAAAAGGCCACACTATTGATTTGTATATGTCTTTTTCTTCATTTTTTTTCTTTTTTTATATAAATGAAACACACAAAATGTTCTACCTCCCACTTGTGATTACACGTTGGTAAAAAAAAAAAAAGAAAGAAATAATTAACATGACATGGGAATAACATCACAATAACACTGTTTTGTTCTCAATAATATCCATTACCTTACACCCCCAAAAAAATCCAGACATCTGCCTTTAGACACAGACTTGCTTAGTTTAAGGGCAGACACTTAAAAGTGAAAAGAAATTTATTACAATGTGCTAACAAAACCCAGAAACAACTTTGAAAATGAAGGCAAATCCACATTTAGCATGGTAGCTACATTCAAAAACCAGTTGCATATTAATTACTGTTGGAGACAAGGAAAAAAGCAAAATCCCTTCTGATGTTTTGTCACACGACTGTGGCACAAATTGTCCAGATATGCCCAAATGGAAAAGAAGGCATTCAACTTGGTGGCTATTGATGTGCCTTTGAACTAAAACTGGAATATTAAAAGGATTTACAAACACGTTCATTTATCATTTGTCCATCCTTTTCCTGTCATCCCAGTTTGATTTCAATTTTAGTTTTGAAAATCATTTAAATGTTAAATATCCCCTTATACAGCTCATCTACAATACACTCTAAACTTCAAACTAATATTGCCATTTATGTAAAAAATCTACAATGTATAGACTAACAAAAAATATATATATTTTTTATATATATTTACCTTTGAAAAATGAAACAGAATAATGTATGAAGTGAATTTACAGGTCGCACTTCTCTCAGTAAGAAAGGGGAGAACACGCTGAAGGTCGGGAAGAAGGTGAAGGGTTGATAATTCAGCGGGAATGCTCATTTAGGAATAAAAAAAAAAAGGCTCTTCTGCTTTAACCATGAAGAAAAAAAAAAAAAGGAAAATCCCTCCTTGATGTGTTTGCCTTTTAAAGTACATGAATAAAGGTTTGGGGGCAAAAAAAAAACAAAAAAAAAACACTCGATTCCGCTGGCACTGTCAGTAAACCATGTCGGATCAGCATAAAAACTGATGCTGGTCGCTTACAGGTGATTTTGATGGCTTTAATACAAGACTGTCGGGGGGCTGAAATGTGACGCAGGTCAAGCCTAAATCGGTCCAACTGTGCTTCGTCTCGTCCATGTATGCTTTACAACACAAAGCAGGACAAAAACCTGAATGCGTGGCCGAGGGCTTGCTGGAGAAACGAGACGATGCTCGGTCAACAAAGTGGAAGAACAGTTTTTTTTGTTTGTTTGTTTTGTTGACCGATTCTTTCACTTGGATATTTCTTTACTTTCAAGGAAGAAGTCTTTGATTCCAAGCCTCCAGATACTGCCAGGGGTTGAGACCAAGTCTGGTCTGAGCTCCCACTTTTCAGATAAGCTGCGCTTGAATTGTCAAAAAAACATCGGGGCCGACTTTCCGCCAGTCTCCACACGCTCGAGGACGAGTGACCGAATTTTGACAGTTCAACTCCAGCTGTGAGTTACATAACATATGTAAGACTGTACCATCACGCTGGGAATGACATACATTAAAAAAATAACTGCTCATACACATAAGCAATCCCTCACAAATGTTCCTCACATGTAAAGCAATTTGCCTTAATGTCAAATAGAAAACATGTAACAATTAGGCACAAATCCTTGATTTAATTTGTGTTTGTGTAGGTCTCCTTTTTATTCCTCCACCAGAGCACCTCTTGGCAGTGTGAGTAGTCCCAAAGTGTTTGAAGGACAAAAAGTACTCTGGTGTTCAATTATGTTGGAAACCAAAAAATAAAGTAAATAAAATATTACACGTATATAACAAAACAAGACAAAACCAAGAAAAAAAAAGTTCTTCACATTTGAGCTTGTAGTCATGGCTGGGAGTGAGAAAACAGATTGTGTCAGTTTTGGCAGTATGTATGTGAATGTGCATCATGAAACTTGAACGGACAATACACAGACATGTCCACATATATACACGCACACGCACACACACTCTGAGAATAATGGGTGGAAGAAATCTGTTAAGGCCACATCCGCTGACAGCCAGGAGAACACCAGACCTGGAAAATAATAAAAAGGTCAAAAGTTAAATAAATAATATGCATTTATGTGGAAAAAAGGGCAAAACTATTTTTTTTTCTATCTAGTAGAATTAATTAAATAATTCTGAACAAGCTGCAGCTGCCTCAGTAATGTTTCATGTCCTCCAACACATGAATGAACCAAGCAGAAGCAATGCCGAGTATGACGCACAATGGATGTTACAAATTCAAAGCAAAATGATTTGATGCCAACATTTACAAATGTTGTTGGGATTCAACTTCAACAATAAAAGTTAGCCTATATCTGTACTCCTTAGAGAACGTACAACCTTATCTTAAGAAATTATTTGGAGAGGGCTGCAAACATTCCTGCATCCAGTAGGTCCATCACAGACGGAACACCTTTCTAGAACATTCCCACTTCCTGTTCTCTCCCAACGTCTGCTTCAGGTAAACTCCCTCCTTTCCTCATTTATTTATTTTATTTTTAGCTCAGGAACAGACTGACTCCCTGTGAATGATGGATCCTGGTTGCAAGTTTACGGTATCGTCTTCAAAGACTTCCAAAAAAGAAAACGGAATGGAGTTGTGACAGGCAGCCCGGGCTACAGGCGGCTACGCTCTACCCCTTCTATTCATTCAGCTAGCTAATCTGAACTGTCAATTCCATTTGGAGAGCGAGATCATCTGTGGTAGTAGCACTAGACATCTTCCAGGCATGTGAGTAAAACTAGCAGCAGTTCAGCGGACAGGAAGTATGAACGCTAGCCGGCGCGCATGGATGACTTCATACACGCTCTGTTTTAAAAGATATAAATATAAAAAATATAACCGCGGATGTCTGGGGGACAGTGATTCGCCTACATGTTATAAATGCGTACCATAAATGATCAATTATGAACAGTTTAGTTTATGCCTTCTAGTCGTTGCCCATAGGTTATATCCAAGTAACGTCTTCCTAACGGAATATCTTCAGACCAGCTCCAAATGACACAAAACTCATATGTGTGAATAGAACATGATGTAATAACGTAAAATCAAGGGCCCAATGTAAAAAAAAAAACCAACTGTGTTCCCCTTTAAGTGTGCAAAAGACAAAACAAACATGCAGGTGCAATAACTGTGCCTGCTGTAGTGATCTACAAAGATTGTTCAATAGACAACAGGTGCCAAACCAATGCTGCTACCCTGTTTAAATCAGGAAATTGTGGCCATTAAAATAAAAAATAAAAAAAGTTATTTTTAAGAGAAACTGGGATAGTTTAAAATAATAATGATATTTACACTGCCCTTGATATACAAGTAACTCAAAGTGTTGCTTAAAACTTTTTTTTCCCATTTATCTAGCAATAATTGGGGATCTATATCTACTCAATCTTGCTACAATGCCCTCCACTATCCTTTCTATCCTCACATTCTTGCCTTCCAAACACAAAAACGAAGTTCAGCTGCAGCACTGCAAAATGTCTGCTAAATAGGACAAATCGTGAGGAGTTTACCGAGTGTTTATATTGACAATTATTAAGTGCATTCTGCATTCTTGTCCCCATTAATCTGTGTAAATAGTGTGGGAGCGGACTATAGATCCATTCCTGTTTCTGCTCTAGTGCAACTCCCCTCTTGCATTACTACTCTCGCAAATACAAGTGAGGCTCTACTTAATAAACAGTGGTAATATAAAAACACCAAAAGAACTTCTTTCCAAGCAGGTGTTATCAAGTAATCAGGGAAAAAATAGGAATCTATTAAACCATTTTTCCACCATCAGGAGTCAATTATTTGATTAGATCCCTAGTAATAATAATAATACATCTGTTAGTAGGGTTACAGGGTAACAGACTGCCTTTCTGGTCTGCGATCAGCTTTTCTCTAGTGCCAAAATCACCTTAATAAAAAGCTTACCTGGAGTTACATGTGGCCAACTGGATTGTGTCCATCTCCTCCCATATTTGGGTGACCTCCTGGGAGCTGCATGGGGGCCTCTCCCACCACCCCGGAAACCTTCTCTTCCTCACGCCTTTTTAAACACGCTGCCTTTGGATTAAGGTTGCGCTCTGTCAAAACAAAAGCAGAAACATCTCACAGTGAAGAAATAAACCGAACACCGGGGGCTGATAAAGGCGGCGCTTCCAAACTCACCTCTGACTTGTTGTTCTAAATTGAGGATGACATTGACCGCTTGATGAAGAATGAGGAGTTTGGTCTGAGGTTTGTCATGGCTGAGGTGCAGCTGGCACATCCTCCCGAGCTCCTTAAAAGCCTCATTGATGTCCCGCACTCTGAGACGCTCCCTGGCGTTGTTAGCCACTCGCCGTTCCCTCTCCCGCTCCATCTTCACCTCAGGGGGAACGTCCTCATCGTCCTCATTGTCCTGACTGCTGACAAATGGAAATAGAGTGGTTACTTTTGTGGTCCAACAACAGAAGACTCAAACATACAGTGAAAGTTGGCTAGAATGTGACTATAAACTTTTATAAACTGTTTTAGTGCAGGTGGTAAAAGTCTTACAGTGCCTAGCGAGTTAAAGGCCTAATTTATAGCATTAAGAGCTTTCTTAAAACGGTTTCATAACATCTGGTTATTTAATGTCATCCAACAAACGTTTCTTGGTGGGATTAACTTTAAATTAAGTTAGTTAAAAACAACTAGAAGGTTCTCTTACTCTAAAATATTTTTCTTTTATCATAAACAAGGGGTTTGAAGGATGAAAGCAAACAAAAATGTATCGCCTTGCATATTTCCCGCCGCATTTAAAATGCTGAAATATATTCTTTATGGTCTCTGTTGTAAGACATTAAATGGGCTATAAAAATGAGGAATAAATCCTTTTAGAGACGGAGAAGACAAATCTAGTCCTCTCCCTGCTTGAACCCCTGAATCAGACAGATTTCTTAATTGAAACCTTCTACAGAACTTTGGGATTTCTTAGTAAGCCTTCTTGTGAACCATTATTATCATCAGCTACAATGGAGTAAAGATATTGTCAGTCACCATTCAAGATGTACTGAATGATCAAAGATGAAATTTTAGTTACAAAGTAAATAATAAAAAAAACAATTTAATCTTATGTAGAACATTTACTATAAATTAGATATCATTGAGAATATGCATGTTTTTCGCAATCTAATGTTAAGCTGGAATATAAATACCCATTCTCCATTTAGGTAGAATTATTATAATTTCTTGTCATTTTTCCACTGACTGGAAGTTTTAGAGTGGCCTAGTTAATTCCTTTGAAGGGAGCCAAGATTAATGTGATGGCAGACAGGCCTTCTTCTAACCTTAAAGAATAGGAGTTCAGCACCAAAATAAAAGTGGAAACATGCAGAAGGTGAGCAATAACAATAAGGGATTGACTTTTTTTCCACTGGTTATTGAGGAGTCCATAAATGTCCTATCAAACCTTCGGGCTAAATGAAACTAAATCTGTCTGAGGTATCAATCACTTTGGGCTTTACTGTAAATGACTATAAATGTGATTATTTTACTGTTGATTCTAATTGTAAGCCTGTGTAATAGTTCGAACTTTATGAAAAGTCTGAAATGAAGTGCTAAGCTGAGACCTCATGTAGTTTTCTCTGTCCCATCTGCAGAGCATTGGGTGTCCTCTGGAAAAACATGACCTTGGTAAGGAGTCAGCTGTGGGATTCAGCAGGATCAGATCAGAAACATTTCTAACCCAAACACAATAACAGCCTTCAAGAACTGCTCACCTCTGTCTTAAATTCCATCCTCTACATTTTATTTTGACTCAAAAACAAACTTATTAAACGTTATTGTGCACAAAGAGTCCCCCGGAGAAACTCAACTTTCTGTTTATGATAACCGCATGATCCAGTTGGATGAATTTAGTTGTAAACCAATGTTAACATGTTATTGGGAAGATTTATTAACCCCTTTTTAGTTTTCTCATTAAGTGTATAATAAAAAGAATATATTAAAAAGTGCTAGTAATCATTTTAACCACCAAGTGCAAGATCAGTCCTTTGAGTTTTGATTTTTAAGAGCCCACAAAGCACTAAAAGTTGATTCTCTGTTGGGGAAAACTTACTCATCTTTCTGGTCTGATAGGCTAGAGAGCATCTGGAGGGTCAACGCCTCCTTTCTGAAAACGTGACATAAAGGGAGGGGGGGGTTGACAATGTTAAAACACCTAGCATAGCCTGAACAATCAGTGGGAAACACAGAAAAGAAGAGTCCTCTGACAATGTAAATCTGGGAATTGTAACAGAAGTTTTAATCATCACATCACTTTCTCTATATCATAATACTTAGTTGATGGTAAGTTATCTTCTGATGCTGCATAGTATAATATAAATGTGCATTTAAAAAGATCCAAAAGTGATGCCTGATGTTATAGTGACAAGCAGGCAGAGAAGCTTACCTTGTTCGATTACGTGCAGCCTTAGAGTCCTTCTTTTCGTCCTCTGACTTATCGGCAATAGATGAGTTTTCATCGTCTTCTTTGTCTTCTCTTTTGATGTCTGAGCTGCTGGAAGAGTGAGCTGACCGGGCCAAACCGCCAGGGAGACCTAAAGACAAACATACAAGTCCTTAGAAACCATTGGTCAATAAATGTGGGGTTTCAAAGCTCTGCAATGAGCTAAAGTTTATCTCACTAGTAAAGCCTTCTGGTTGGCCAACAGATGGTGTGGGTCCAGTGGCGTGATGGCCATGCAGGAGGGTGCTGCTGGGAGGAAGTCCTGTGGGTTCCTCATGTTTCCCTCCCTGCTGATCAAACAAGAGGCCATTATTTATTATCAAGACAAACCAGAATTATGCATTTAAAATCATTTACTCAAACCTGGAAATACAATAAACTAAGTAAATAATAAAATATAAGGTAGTACTATTCAGCGGTTCTGCCTCTTACAATGCCATCTTTGGCCAGCAGATGGCAACAGAGGCAACAATGTAAACCTTCCACCCCCCCTTCTTAATATAGATTACTCCACTTTTTTGTTTTCACAAGCTAGTTAAGAGTATCAAACCAACTAAATCAATTATTAAACTTTTTAATGTTTTTCTGTACATTTTTGACCTGTTCTAAGTCTAAATAATAACCTTAATATGAACAGTTTCCTCAGAAACATTTTAACTGCTAAAGCTTTATGCCTTATGTGCGACAGCACACCAATTTCCAGCCGAAGTAATATAATCGCTGTACAAGGTGAAAACAAAGGAAGCACAAGTAGAGGAAAAATGACTCACCAAAGCAGGATGTCTGTTGCTAAGAGCAAGGCTGGCGTTTGGGAAAGCAGGGGAGAGTCCTCCAAGGCCCCCGTTGTGGACAGAGGACAGCAGGCTGTGCATATCAGAGTGGGCTCCTTCTAATGCTGGACTCTGGCCCACAGCATGACTACGCAGCACATGGATGGCCTCCTCCAAGCGGTCCTCCATTTTATTCTGCTACAAAAAAATAATGAAACCTGAGCATTGGCATTACCTATAGAAGCATGTTTACACATTTTGCATATCAGTGGAAAATGTAATTTTGCATAATTTTTAAATGAGTACAGGATATTAAAGATAGACCGCCATAGCGTACCATAGAAAACTACCAGTATTTTCATCTACAATAAATTGACTGATGGACTGGGGACGTTTGAGCTAAAGGTTAAATCTGCAAAGAGCTGCAGCTGAGGTAGATTTGTTCCTTCTTGGGAAGAAAGAAATCAGATCTTAAAATTGCCAGGAATTTATATAAATACCATTTGATGACCCTTTAAACATTCATTTTGTTTATATTAGGTTGTTATTAACACAATATTTTGTATTTATTCATAAGGGAATAGCGTCACCACTAATCTGTATGAAGAACAGTCGGACTGAACTAAATGCAAAGCACTTACTGTAACCGAACAGCTGTTACTGGTTCTGTTTAATTGGATAACCTTTAATTGTTCAGCCATGAATATTTCCTATTAACTGTTATCATGAAGCTGTTAAGATGCTTTAACACATTCAATTCGACTAATTTTCTCTTCTAAGCAGCATTTTACAACATGCTGAAGAATGAAGCACATTACATTTGTAGTGAAAACATTTGTAAGGAAGCTTGAAACAAATAAAGAAGCAAAACAATGCAGACGCAGTGAAGATCTGAAACACTTAAGACATGTTAGGTAAAAGGATGGGATTAACCTGGACTAAATACTTCATATTAATGCACAGTTTAGGAACCAAAACACCTTTATTTGACTAAACAGTCATCAAGAAGCAGCTTAGTTCCCTTAGTTTTAAACAAGCCTAGACTGGAAAGCTTAGGTTCAATTTAAAAGGCTGTATATATGTCTTTATCTCTGTCAATATGTCACAAATCACAAAAAAGATGTTAAAATACAAGAGCTGATATAGCAAACAAAACAAAGATTATTTTTATCAACAAGAAAATTTGTTTTAGTATAATTATAGATTGCATCTCATCTCACCCATTCATGGAAACGCCTTTTTTTTTTTTTCTGAAGATACTGAATATCCAACGTTAATTGGTTATATCCAATTAATGTCTTCCTATGGGCAACAAACTAAACTGTTTATAATGTATTGTTTATGGTACGAATCACTGTCCCCCCAGACATCCAAGGTTATATTTTTTATATTTATATGTTTTAAAAACAAAGCGGCACGTGTATGACGTCATCCGCACCAGACTGGAGTTGTGACAGGCAGCCCGGGCCACAGGCGGCCACGCTCTACCCCTTCTATTCGTTCGGCGAGCTAATCTGAATCGTTCAATTCCATTTCGAGAGCGAGATCATCTGTGGTAGTAGCACTAGACATCTTCCAGCCATGTGAGTAAAACTAGCAGCAGTTCAGCGGACAGGATGAATGAACGGTAGCTGGCTTCTTTGAAATGTACATTATCCACATTCTCTAGCTTTTTCTCCGCCTCGAGCTTCTTTTCCGAACATACGATGAACCGGGAGCAGTTCAGTGCAAATATATCGTGATATAATATATATCCAACGAAATTGTTTTTATAAACGTTTAGTTTTTTTTTTTTTTATTAAAATATTGCATTTTAAATGCCACGATAATTGCATTTAATTAATTTCAATGCCAATTTAGGCCTTCATTTAAAAAAAAAAAAAACAGTAATTTACACATGCTCTCCATGTGTTTTTATTAAGCATTTACCTGTTTTACTATGTAGCACTTTGGGATTTATTTAAATATAAAGTGCATTGCAAGTCCAAAGTAGTACTATCATTATTATTTAATGACCCGTGGAAACCAATGTCACCTAACACCCATTTAAGTTTGTTTTCTTTGATGCAGCAAAAATACGCCAACTTACCAGTGTGTGTGGTTGCCCTTCATAGTTGGGTGTGGTTGGTCTTGGCCACTGAGACTGAGCTCCTGCAGAGATGATGTTGAATCAGGTCAAGCATCAGTTGCTGTATATACACACCAGATGGCGCCACAGACACATTTTCTATAGTTTCTCTTCTTCTCTCCCCAAAGTAAAGTCTCCCTTCTTTACGATTAAGAATGATTCATATGTAGTTTAAGTGAGGGGTGAGGTGTACCTGCAATAGCCTGAGGAGATCCAGGAGTGGAGGGAGCCGAGGAGAAATTATTACTGTTGTGGTCCGATGGGTAAATCTGAAAGGCATATTCAGTTTAGATATTTGTATGTACCACACTCTGATAGATGTTAAGCAAAAACTCATATGCACATTTAAAAGAAAGATAATTAACTCACTGAAGCAAGAGCTTTTCCGATTTCATCTCCTGAACTGCTTGCCGTCGTGCCTCGGCTGGCTGCAAAGTAAATATTCAGATAAATGAATAACTAAATGACAGTGGCAGTCCAACAGATCAATGGAAGATGTTTGCCAGATACTTCTTAGACAGGGGTTGATTTAAAGGGTGCTTACCCATGATGCCCTCTCCATTGATGGTGGGTGTGTGGTTGTAGGTGGTGGGGGCGGTGTGGAAGCCGTTGACCTCGCCGCTGGGCAGAGAATAGTTCTGTTGGATTAGAGACACAGTGTGATGCTTCAAAAGAAGGTACACAAGCCTTTAATAGGTACAAAAGAAATGAATGAAATACATCATAATGAGGTCATTTTAAGGGAAAACTAAGATCAACTTCATACAGTTGTAAAATGGAAAATTCATAATCAGAGTAATCATCTTTTTTCCATTGATGGTAGGGTTGTCCTGCTGTTTGCGACATTGTCATAGAATGCTGAGAACTCGAGGAACAGTGAACCACAAACGAACCATTCTGTCCTGTGGGTTGATAGCAGGGAAGGAGCCTGGCTGACCAATGTGAGGAGAGTTACCCAACATCCCAGAATAGCCAGAAGATGACCATGGGTCTTCTAAGGAATGAAAAATAAGGTTTAAAAACCTGTATCAAAAAAAATTAAAAATACAAACAACTTTTTTCTAGTTGTTACCCTGCATGTAATAGGAGGCTGGATAGACAGCGCCGGGTTTGGCGCCAGGATATCCTCCGTTGTCCCTGGCAAACTCATCTCCAGTTGTAGTGGCATATACCTGAGTAAAAACATGTGCAATGAAGACTTCATTAAAAACAGCTTCAACTATTTCATCAACAAAGTGTCAGCTGGAATATTATAAAGCGAGCAACTGATAAGTCCTAACTTCTAGCTTCATGTCTAGATTCTAGGATTTGGTCTGGTATAGGATATTAAAACATCTCAACATAACAAATTTTTTATTTTCGATTCCTAATTTCCATATCAAGACCACTGATGGAAGAAAGCCGCAGAATACAAGTGAATAAGAAAAACAGGAGTCTGTGTGCAACCATCTGTTTGTGCACCAGCAATTGAAATGAGCAACAATTGTGATGGGATTGTATTATGCAAAAAAAAAAAAACAGCCAGATTCAGAAAGAGAGCCCCGTCTTTGAGCAGCTGCACCGTGTTGTGGTAAGGTAGGTTCCCCCAAGAAATGTGTTCATCCCTGCAGTTGTAATGATCTTCTGCAGTTGACATTGGGGCCTTTTTTAATCCTTTTTCTTTTTACCTTATTTAAACAGATACCTGCCTAGTTATCTATGCATTCTTGAAAGAATGAAAAAACAAACAAACATTGAATCTAGATCTGCCAGTCTTCTGAAAAAATTGAAACACAACTTTATTCATTGCATTTTGTTTTTCCCCGTTTGGGATCAGTTTGATAAAATGAAACCTAGTACCTGAACGATGGAGTCTGAAATCTGATCTTTCTTCTGTCCACTAATGTAAGAATGACATATTTAGCTGTTCAAAAGTGGCAGAGCAGGCAGTTATTGTGTGGGAAACTAAAGCATCTTGGACCAAACCCCTCAAGGTAGGATTTGAAGGCATTTATGTTGTGCATCAACTGAAAGAACCAAGATAGCATGGTAGGTTTAACCCAGCCTACTGCTATTAGGACTCACGTAGGGGTGAAACGGTTTCCAGGCTCAACAGTGTCTTGTTACGATTACAAAGGGTCAGTGCAACCAGCTGGCAGGTCGGTTTACAGCAAAAAAATTTAAAACACAGAATGAGGCAGATTGGTACATTAGGCACAGTATTGGGTTTATCCAACAAAGACGCACCAGATCACTGGACTACAACCTAATAAAAACTTCATCAGTGTGACAAAAATAGAGCTTTAAGAGACACTCTGTACGTTTTTACTGATTATAATAGCCTTTTCATTTGACCCTTTATGACTAAAACATCATTTGATCGGCGTCAATGCATCTATAAGCCTGTAGCCTGTTTTCAATGAACGTACTGAGGGTCAGAAGTTCGCATGCTGTTCTGCAGATGTTGACAAGCACATCCATGTTAAATGGGTCCAATATAGCTAACAATCTAAGTGTTGGTACGAAGACACAACTGGCATCCAGATCAACTCCGGCACCAATGACAACTCAATGTAAGATGAAAAAAAAAAAAAAAAAAAACACCTTAAGTACGAACGCGAGCTACAAGATAGAGCAGAGCAGTGCTGCAGCTCTGTGTTTTGGCCACAGGTGGCAGTATCATTAGAAGACTCCATAATGCACCTTAACAGATAAAAGCATTGTGTTTCTTAATAATTGTGATGGTTAAATTGCTTTCTTTTGCTTATTTTGCACACAATAAAAAGTTAAAAATGATTTTTTAATGAAAAGTATTAAATGAATAAAGAGAAGCATCTTAAAAAAATAAAGCCTGATGCAGGATAATGTACAAGTATCTACAATAAAGAAATTTTGGAATTAAATCCAGCGGAACTGGACACTCATCTGCAAACCATGACTTGACATTCACAAGAAAAACAATCAGATTTTTTAGCACCTTAAGCTTAGAAGCAGGTCACTTTAAGTTTCACTTCTGCGAAAGTCTAATTCCATTAAGCATCCATAAAAAAAAAATGGACAAACCTAGAACACAAACAGCGTGTATAATCTTACAGCAATTCATTAGTTTATTTTATGGCTCATCAGCTGCTCAGCTGCTACTTGATCTGCTTTTAAAACCTTAGACTGCTTTAGCCTTTGAAAACTTTTATACCCGCGATCATTAGGGAGTAGTCAAACACTCTACACTCCTTTCTTGTTTTGAAATAGAAGCACAGACATGGCGAACGCCTGGACCCCAAATCCTTTGAGCTAAAGGACATGCACAGCCTGTGTCTATCAACAAGAATAATCAACAAAAGCAATGAATAAAGTTACTATAACTAATAATAAAATTTAAATGTTGAGTTTCGCAGTCTGGAATAAGAGGAAAAATATTTTTATGCCGACAACCTTATTTTTAGGTAGCCATGGATAAATACTAGATTACAGTAACCTAAAATGGCCACAAGATGGCATGAGGGAGTCTGCTGGAGGTGGAGGAGGAAGCAGGGCCAGCTCCTTGCCTGTAGAGGAGACCACAGTGGCCATGGCATGCTGGGTAAAGCGGCGGCTTGAATCCCAGTGCACAGTGAGCATTTCCTCTCGCTCCTAGGACCCCAGTGACATCGCACTGCCAGTCCCCCAGCCCCTCCCTTTAACATGCTCAGTATCAGATCACATACATACCATGCATTTAGTGAGCCAACACACCCATTCATGCACAAACCAAAAGCACTGAACCAAGACTGAAATTCTATATGTGAAAATTTGTAAGCATCCTGTTTAAATGCTTGTAAAACAGAACTAGCGATAAAGACCTAGGATGGACGCAAGAAGTCCTCTGTTTTCATTCACCCTTGTGTGCCACTCTTTCTCTTGCCTTCTTCTGTATTACATGGCAGAAACAGTAAAAGAGAAGAGAATGAAGGCTATGCTGCAAAGAATGCTAATCCAGAAAAGAGATTTTTTCTGTAATTTGATTTAACAAGGAGAAGTGGAAAGGGAATGGAGAGATGCACTTCTAATTACAGAGCCATCTGCCTGTTCCTGGACCGCATCCAACTCCACAGGCAGCTGGGCTGAGGAGAGGGAATGAGTAGAGAGAGAGAGAGAAAGAGAGAGAGAGAGAGAAACAGAGAGAGAGAAATGGGGGCTGGGAGCCAGTCAGAGAGAGAGAGAGATGGAAAGAGACGGAGAGACAGGGAGAAACTGTGGTGGGTAGGGGGTGGTAAAGGGGTAAGGAAAGGATTGGGAAGGGAGAGAAAAAAAGAAAAAAAAAGGTCCTAATGATATATGAAATGGGTGGAGAGATAAGGGGTGTTCAGGGGGACAAGGGACGGTAATCTAAATGACTTAAACAAAGCTTGATACGGCCAGGGGAGTGTGAAGGAAACGGGGGATTTAAAATGATCACGGTTAATTCGGGGGGGAAACATGATGGAGATGGCTTCATTTAACAATAAGCTTTGAGTTGTTCTTTCACCGGGAACAATGTCCTGCGAATCCTGCTGCTCTAGATGGGAGCACAGCGCCGCACAATGACAGGCGCTGCCGGGTAATTGTATTCTCCGGGAAGAAAGAGATTTATGGGGCAAAATCCTTAACTAATACGGGTTTAATGTGATTCAGGTTATGACCGTGTAAAGGCCTCTATACATAGAAGAAAAACATAGGTTTATTGCTAAAGGTGGGGGAATAGATGAAGATTAACATCAAACCAACCTCCAAGCGCTTACATTTAACCACAAAGGTTTGTGGGTAAGCAAAGGGACAACTAGGGGGCAGAAGAGAAGCAAATGTTTGTGGAGTTTCTGAGCTCAAAGGAGGGGGAGGGGTTTATAGGAACTGATCGGATACTTTAAGTTTTCTGATTCAAAGCAAAATAATTGAAAGAAAAGTAGATAAAACAGAAAATTGATAGGTTGGTTAAGACAAACGGAAAGGGAGGAGGGTGGAAAGAGACCACGGGATCATCGGCAGCAGTCATTAATCTGGGCTCAGACACGGGGCTAAGAGGCCTCGCAAGCCCTGCGCCTCACAATTGGGTCACTCACAGGGGGGAGGCCCACCCAGGCCATCATGTGGTGAAGCGTAGGCGGAGGTGAGGCAGAGGTGGGGGGGGGGTTCACACAAACAGACATCTCATCATTTTGCACCTAAAACCACACAGCTCATCGTTCATGCTACTACAGAGAACAGCAGAGGTTCAGAGAAAAACAGAGCCATGGCGAGACAGGCTTCACACTCAAAACTCTGATGTAGAAAGTGTCCGTGCGCTCAGCCACCGCCACACGCCTACAGGTGGACGCCAACAGCTGTGTTGTCAAAACACAGCTTCACTTTCTTAAAACAACAAAACATAAAGACTTTAAAGATCGTATCAGGTTTACACAATGTCCAGTAATTAAATACAAGGAACAATTTCATGTTTGTTACACCAGAGCTACAGCAGCAGAAACAAAAGATTTTTTAGATATACAATATCTCATCTATTCAGAGGCTCACCATAACATTTAGACCAGACATGTAACCTTGTTAATGACAGATTCACCCAGATCAGGTCTGTTCAACAGAGAAACATCTAAACCATGGCTCTAAAGAGCGACTTTGCTATTTGCAGATTGTCCACAAAATTTTGCTCACATTTGCCAAATTGAAAAAAAAAATCCATTAAACAGAATTATATTAAGAGAAGGTTCTGTTTTAGCTAATCTTATTTGGATTCTCTTTTTGAAACTAAACCCTCTCTGTTGTTCCCAACAGTTTAACCCAGCTGGCTGCGTCTCAGGCATGTCAAACCTAAAATGTGCCAATGATTCATGAATGGGCATGAACTTGATTCAGTATAATAAAATGAGTAACGGTGACTTGTATTTCCAGCTATGTGCGGCTGCCGTCATCCTCCCATCAGCTGCTAAGACCTCCGGGCACACTGACAAAAACGACACCAGTTACAGTCGGGCAGGAGTTCACCAGGAACTTCACAGTGCTCAGAAAAAGAGAGTGGAAGTTTGAAGAGAATCTGGAAGCTAAATGCTAATCATTCAACAAACTGAGAAGCCTGAGAGGACAAAATAAAGGCAAATTGATGACAGAGATAACAATGAGCTAGGGTTCCTAGACAGTGTCCGTGTAAACATGCACGGATGTTTACAGACTGATCTTTTTTTGTTTCTTTTTTTTTTCGTAAAAAGCATATTATGGGTGGATGAATGGAAGAAAAAAGCAAATATATTTTCCTAAACTTCAGTTTTTCTGCTAAATATTCATATAGATCAGAGAAATGCTGAAATCATACTTCTTAAATATGAAACAGGAAACATGTTCTATTCTATCTAGTTCAGATTCTTTTTTAAGAGTCACTTAACATAATCACACAAAACTGCTCGACTGTCAGGCAGCTCCAACAAAACTCAGGACCACACGACTGAAGCAATGAACCCGGAAATCATGTTTTTCTGGAGTCTATATTTCAGCCCTCAGTGCATATGTTAGCAGAAATCTCCAGTCCTCATTCACAGGACTGCTAAAGCAGGTTAAGGGAGCCTGAGTTTGTACAAGCAGAAAAGAAGAGTGGGAAACTGGCTGTGAGGTGAGGAGAAAAAAAAAAAAGAGTTAAAAAGAAATCAGGTCTCACCGAGGATGGCAAACCAGGGGGTTTCCGAATCTTTTTTGGCTGGGTCTCTGTGGACAGAAAATTTAAAAGTCACACAACAAAGTAAAAAGAAAAACAGAAAAAGGGACTTTGGTGGGTGGGAAAAAATGAAAGGTTAGCAAAAAATTATGCGAGCTCAGGTGCTTCTGTATGTGCTTGATGCAGTTTTAGAGATTTTGAGCAAGCTGGAGCAAGTGTGTTACTTGGAATAAATCATTTCTACATTTATCTTCAACCACAGTACAGTTGCACTGATAAAAATCAAACAAACAAGCATTTCTAGTAAAGGACACATAAAAATAATCTCTGCTTGGCTTTGATGGAAGATTGGCAGGTCATTTATTGAAATGAAATCTGCTTTTACCCCCCAAGTCAATAGGTGATAAAACTAGCTCTATTAAATGCAACAAAAACGTTTAATTTAACACATATTTTTTAAGACTAGGAAAGCTTTTCAGTACGGTTTAAAACTAATATATTATCCTGCAGTATGTGTTTCACTTATGTGTTACAGTAGGAATCAGGAGGTCAGCCCTTTAAATATAAGCCATTGTATCAGCACAAAATATTTACAGGGATAAATATTTTACCTCTACAGCATATGTTGCATGTGCAACTACTAGTATACAGGGAATACACCGCCATCTAAATAAATGTAAAATGCACTTATTTGTCAATTGGTTACAAATAGAATATTTTAGTTTTTGCTCAAACATCCTGAGTACTCAATTAAAGGTATAGTTGAGGATGTTCTTTTTCCGGGTGGGTCCTCAAAATAATTGGTCCTCCTAATTTTTAATCATTCTGGTGATATGTTACGTAACGTCCTATGTGCTCTTACCCATTTTCACTTACCGGTGGTGAGTATGACAGAGTGGAAAATTTTTAAATTGAGCGTGCACGAGGAGAAATGGGCTCATGCATGCTCTTGCAGAGTTTAATAGGGGTTCCCTCTCAGAAACGGGTACAAGGTTGTGTATGTGCATTTTTTTGTTATTGTTTTTTATTTTTTATTGCCAAAATCCTCCAATATAACCTTAAATGAAACATATCAAGTCCTCTCAAACTGGTTTATCTGATCTTGAATCTCCTGTTTCTCTGTGGAATATTTTAACTAGGTACCAAGGGAAAAAACGTTTCATCTCAGGTTTTTACCCTAATCTGATAAAAACTGAATTATACTCAAACTTCTGGAAGACCAACTAAGATCCTAAAGTGGTTAATGTAATAAAAAGAGAGGGAGAGAGAGAGAGAGAAAAAAGTAATAAAGATTTAATAGCACCATATAATGTTTAATGTTTGCTTTATTTACCTAGGCTTCCTTCAGGCGGCCTTCTCCTGGGATTGTTGGGATATGACGGATAAAACTGAGAGCCTGACTTTATGCCCGAGGGAGACAAAGCATCTGGGCTGGGCATCGCTATGTCACTTGGAAATAAACCAGGCTGGAGACAGAGAGAAAGCAAATCTTTTAACCGACAGCTTGCGTGGGAAAGCACAACAAAAAACATCAACTTCTCTTCTAAGAAACAAAGACTGTTGTAAATTCAAAGTGTCTGAAAAGAGAACTGAGAAAGTGGAGCTTCCTTTAGTGATGCAGTACTTAGGTTTTTCTTGTATGGCCTTGTCAGACGTAGCACACAGTGAAACATACCTGGCTTACAAAGGGGGTGTACGGTGGCCTCTCGCTTTTACCTGCAAGGAAAAAATGTTTTCAACTACAGTGGAATAGGAACAGATTGCTCAAAAACACTTGGATGCAATGATGTGTGATAATAATAATAATAAAAGTAGGTTTTCACAAGTAGAAACTGTTCAGGGGAGGCCTTCCCCCTTTTTTTCAATACGCTCAGCTGCATAAAGCTGCCCGCCAGACGAAACCCCAGGGAGGGTTTCTGCTTCAGCACCCTAACATGCCTAGCATTCAACGGATGAACATAGACACACGCACACATATAGGACTATGAATGCAGACAGACATTTCACAATCTTGAAAACAATTTTCGTGGTCATACAATACATTACACAGTCAAATTACAAAGAAAATGCATGATGAGAAATTTGGCAAAAAACTAAAATATAGTAGTTATGGAAAGGAAAATTAAAGAATATACCTGCAATCCCTGAACTGATAAACGGAGAGGACAAGCCTTCATGCTCACTGAAGTGGGATCCCTCTGCATAGCTCTGTGGAACCAGTGCAGAATATGACAGACCTTAAAATGTTAATAAAGTGCAGATATCACGTACAAGTCAAGTCCAGAGTTTCTAAAAATGATGGCATGTTTTTCACACTGAATGCATTCTGTTCAGCCTTCTTAAAACCAGCATGAATGAAGGTTGGTTATGATTTCAAATCACTAAGCAGCTTTGACACCTTTCCTATGTTCTCATACATAACAGTACGTTAAAACATGTTATGTGGGTGTGATCATGAGAAAAAAAAAAAAATCAACTCATATCAGAGGGGTGAAATTCACAGGATTTTTTGCCACGTCAGGAAGACATCTATTAATATTGCTTTGTTTAAATTTTATTCATGGTTTTGTTTAGTTGAATTACGATACTCTTAGTAGCTCTCCCAAATAGTCGCATGTGTAAGAACTGCGAGGCTTGCAGGACAATCTCTGGAAATCTCAAAAAAAAAAAATAAATAAATAAATAAATAAATAAAAAAGCCTTGAAACCAGAGGCACAGTGTGATGGCGGTAATAAGTGGAGTACCAATCCATCCAGAATTAAAAATAAATTCAGAAACAAATACATAACTTGATGAGTTATTTACTGATTAGTAGTAGTTTAAATCGCATAACAGAATAGATCTATGGAGAAACCAAAACAAAAATATGCGAGATATTTAGATCCCTTTTTGTAGTGCTAATGTTTTTAATGATGTAGCATTTCATAAGCTAATATGTAATTTACTGCAATTTACTGCAACAACTTATACATTTAGCTCATTATTCATTTGTATAATTAATGTATTCATAATTATTGAAGGATTGGTCCTCCATAAAAAAAAAAAAAACATCCTTTATGCTAATTTACCAAAACATTCTTTTATTATCTTAATCATTATATCCACATATAAAATTAACTATTAACCTAATAATATTTCTTTTTGAAATAAAGTATAATTATTCTTTTTCAAAACAAATAATAAATTCTGATCAAAGGATGTAGAAATTAAGCGATGTATAAACTATTTTTTCCAAATAAAAAAAATGAAGGAAAAAAAAAGCACCATCACTGTATTTACATAGACAAAAACAAGACCCTTTATTCCCCATACTTGAATCTTTCACCATAGCATTAAACAGGATTTAAGGGCTATTCTCGTTACTTTGAGATGTAAAATTACTAGCTCAAAAGTAAACCTGATGAAATCCAAAATGAACTATGTAGAGAGTAAATAAGAAAATTGAATGTTTATAATAAAAAAAAAACCTTAAGAGCTTTTATTTTGAAGAACTAATTCTGTCTTAATAATGGTTCTGCCTTAAAAAGAAGGAAATAAGATGTCAGGGAAAGTCCAGTTTTCTTTGCTTAGATATGAAATGAAGCAATGATAAACAGTGTGAGACATTGAAATGATGCTGCAGCTTTTTCGAAACAATAATCGTATGCGGTTTGTAAATATCACACGTCAATTAATTAAATGCACCCTTTAACTGGAGAATAAGCACATCTCTGTCAGAGCTGCATATGTATTGGTAGTTACTGATACTTAAATTTTAGCATTAAATAAAAAATAAAAACAACAACAGGGAAGGAATTCCTTTTACGAGTGCATAACATTGAGGATTAAAGAGTCGATAATATACAATCTGTATCCTGATTACCAGTGATGTGTGCACAGTAAACCAAGGGACAAAAATAAAACTACATTAATGGATACTCACAAAAAATCCTGAATACTTTAAGATTTTTTTTTTTTATTATTGATTCCAGAGTCTTTAGCCTTTTTTTTTTTGTTACTTGAATTTGCATCTATGATACCCTGCAGAGCAACACATCTAAATACAAAGCCATCCTCACATTGTCAGCTTTCCGGTGCACCTTAGTGCTCATCTCCCTCTGATTTTTTTTTTCTTTCTAATGGGAGCAACGCCAAACAAATCTCCACCAGCTCAAGGGATTCAGTCTGACTTTCTTAATTATCAACTTGTGGTAATCAAAGCTTTCTGCATCTATTTCACCCCCTGTACTTTGTATTTATGCGCCGGTGCCAAGACAGTTAGGCTGGATGGGAAGCTGCAATTACCGCTGGGCTTCAACAGAGGTTCTAAGCTACAAGGGTGCTTGCCAATACCGGATCTTGGGCCAAGGTTATTAGGTAGAGAGCAACAAAATAAATAAATAAAATTGCCTTTGCAAATCATACATCCCACATTGCAGGAGATAGGATGGGCTTTTTTTCTGTTCCGTTTGTGTGATTATTTGAGTATGTGTGAGGGTGTCTGTATCAAAGCATCTGGTATTACTTCTTAGATAAGCAATTTTACAATCAGGTGTGACTAAACAGTGCGACTGTATGTCTGTGTGTATTAATCTTACCCGTCCTTGGCTGAAAGAGGGGCTGTTCTGTTCTGCAGAGGCCCAAGACCCAGAGCCACTGCGCTCATCGATAGCTGGAAAAGGATGCAGTAATGAGTGGTTAGAGCTGGCAGGTGGGACCAAAAAGGCTGTCACACAGAGTAATGATACAAAAGTAACAATATTCAGGTGAAAACGTGATAAAAATGCTGTGCAATGTTCTGATTAAACTTCATTATCATTACTGAATACCAGAAAATTAACCATTTGCTTCCCAATGTAATGCATGAGGGTACAATGTTATTCATGTCATATTTAATTATTCTAAGCATACTTCTCAGAAACAAAACAAAATGTTAAGCTAAAGACTGAAGCACAACGTTAGAGGTAATGAAAGAATTGAAGTGTGGCACAAAGAAAATACAGTCGAAGGTTGGTGGAGCAGAAAACTCCAAAATACCCCCATCATCCCCTTCTCCCTGTCTAATGCACTAATGCTATCCAGGCTCTCTGGAGACACAAGGCTTAATTGCATGCTGATTTGCATAATTGTGCATATTAATGCAGTTTCCTTATGAATATTCATACCATGCCTTTGATTTTTGCCTAATTAAAAAAATGTGTGTGAGAAAGCAAAGCAGCGAGCAAGTGGAAGGAGAAAGCAAGGAGACGAAACGAGCGGGAGGCAGGCAGTCAGGAAGGGGAGTGAGACGGGGTCTGGGTGAGATCAGCAGCATAGTTGACGAGTGAGAATGAGCGATGAGGCTAACAGAGCGGTGCAAGCACCTACACACGCTGAGACAGCCGTGATCTATGGGGCCGATGCCAGTGGCATGGAGAATCAGGCAGGCGAGGAGGAGGAGAGGGGGACCTTAAAGGATCAGCCATGCCCACCTTCAGATCAGCAATAGTACAAACCCCTCACTGATATCAGAGCTGCTGATGATGAGCATACTGCTGAATTAAGATGACAGATTTTGGATGGAGACACTTCAGGCAAAGCTTGTTGCCAAGAGAAGTTCAGTAAAAGCAAATCAGGCAGATAAAAGAGGTTAAAGTCGAAAATCAGCCTTCCTATAGAAGGCTGCAGCTTTTACTAAACAAAGTACATTTACTAAAAAAAACACATAAAATGCTAGTATCCCACAAACAGTGCTATTCATCCATCTATGATTTCCTCATTTGGCCAACAGGGGTGCAGAGCAGAGTGAGAGCGCTGTGCAGGGGAAGTCTGACAACATTGTTTCACACTTACTGGAGTAATTAACTTGAAGGCAATTAAAACAAGGTGGAGAGCTGCGGAGGTGGCTCTGACGCCTATGAGAGCTCCAACCATGCCAGAACAGAGATTTTTTCTATTGTTTACCCATGTCATATCAATGCATCAGCAACAATAGGAGGGAAAAATATATATATAGCAAAAGCTTTGAATATTTTTTTTACCTCCGAAATGATGTCAAACACTGAACCCTGCAATGATGGGATTATTTTAAGGTTTATGTTTTGCTGCTTTTAAATGTCTAATTAAGAATTGGGTTCAGGTAAAAATGAAAACACATGTGGAAATCTGAACTGACAAAACCAATTTCTGCTTCTTGGTTCAAACTAGCTTGTCACCTCAAGCAAGCCAGCCTAAATAAAGCCAAGCAAACTGGCAGATTTTGGATCTGTAAGCACATCAACAGACAACACATATCCTTCAATGGTCAGTTTTTTCTTACAGAGAAAATTTTTACTTTTAACAACTATAGCAATACAGGACGTAGCTCTCTTCTCCTCCCACATACGATTTTGTAGGGAGCGTCAGTAAATATCTGAAACAAAAACTGATGATTAATAAAAAGAACGACTTTAATGTCTCTGACTGAAGTTTTTGATATTAAATAACTCATTTAGTATACATTGTCGGTCCCATTGTCAACCAATGTGTATAGCAGCCCAAAGTAGAGCTGCTTCCATCAGTTCTACCTGGGTGATGTTACATCCCACACTGGAAAAAAATCAAAATCTAGACAAGACATTTTTTCTTCAAAATCAGTGACTTTGTTCTTGAATTGAGAAGGTAAAAGAGACATTTTGCCAATGGAACAAGACAATTTACATTTAAAATAAGAAAACTCAGTTGCATTGCCTTTTTTCAAGTGCATTTTATCTAAATATCTTATTTTAAGAGTAAAAATACTCATTCCATTGGCAAATCATCTTATTTACCTACTCATATTAATACACTTAATTTAAGACATTTTTACTTATTTCTAGATGGTTTTGCCAGTGCAGGCTAAGCACACAGGACAAATGGAACGCAGTAACTCCGTTTTAAACTGAGGAGGACGCCAAACAGACAGTTTTAGACACAAAAGCAGTAAATTGTCTGTAAAAACAAATTGAAAAAGTGTCGGAGACTTTTTGACAACAGTATTAGACATCTAATTATTTGGTTTATCAGAAAAAAAGCTAAGTTAGAGGTAAGAAGTAATTTAAATGTACCATAAAGCTCTGTCAAAAACAACTTGTTTTATTTACATGTTAAAAAGTCTAATTTCTCTAAGCTTTGAGACATCCTGAGGTTAATTGACATAGGTTTTTAAATAAGTGATTAGGCCGGAGGAGATTTATTCTGATATGGTGGAAACAGGTGAGGGGATTTGTTAAAGCAGACAGACCAAATAAGCACGGGCCACATGCCACCAGTTTTAAGGTTTACCAAGAGTTTAAAAAGTCACTGCTTTAAACTTTGTTTGATTATAATCTCAATGGGAGCACATAAAATACAGGAATAGCCAGAGATTTATCCACCTATATTGATCATAGAGTAAGAGCTTGACCCCTCCCCTACCTGTTGCTGCATATTGGCATTCAGCTGGCAGAAAGAATGCTGCTACATTTACATTCATATTGACAGTTTATTCTAATCTAATTATGTCCCTCTAAATTCAAGTTTCTTAAACATTCTTTATTTCTAAATTCTAGACTGTAACAGAACACTTTTAGTCAAGTCAATGTTACTTCCTTTTAACCAACAGCAAAGATAGTCTACTAATGGAGTAATGCACTTTTAAGAGACTTGTACATCTATTTACAGAGGATGAAATGTTTATCCTAGTGCGTAATAAAAAATCTGGTTGTCTTGCAACATAAAGATGCAGATTAGGTTTAATGATTTACTTCAAGTTTCTAATGTAGTTTAGAAAACAACTGAGACAGTCTTTGGTTTAAAATTCTGCCTTTATTTAAAAAAAAATAAAAATATTTCCTGACCTAGTTTCCTTATATTGTGTGTTTGAGTTAATGTCCACAAAATGTTGCTGAAAAAAAAACTATAGAAATATGTTTTGTAAACAAAACCTAATTTGCTACAAAAAACAACTTTTCTTACTTATGGGAAAATAGTTCCATGTTATTTGTGCAATTAGCACTCAAAAAATAAATTTAAATAATAGACTATTGGAACTCTAATCTGTTAATTAGAAGCAGTTTGAATTATAGTTACCAATTCAGCCGGACAATAGTTTTTTTGTTTGTTTTTTTACCCATCTATTGTAATATCAACAGCATCTATTGGGAGTCAGATGGACTTAAGTCAAAATAACCTTATCAGCTTGAAAAAAAAAAAAACAACAAAAAAAAAACAACAGCCAATCTCTAGTTTTGAATAACTAATATAAAAAAAATAGGGTTCATATTTGTGTAAAGTTTATAGTTAAAGAAGCTCAAATAGTGGTATTTTCTAAAAGATAATTATACCTTAGGCATCTAATCTAACAGCCTGTGTCTAACATGGGTTCATAAACAGCAATCCAATGATTTGCTTATGAAGTAGAAACAAAAGAAACCATAACAGAATATGAATTAAAAGCAAGTTTTTCACAGAAATTTTTTTTAAGACTGAATATAAACAACTTCATTAAAAATTTTAACTATTATTTTATATCTTATAATAATTTGAAATAAAAACACTATAGTTCATGTTCCAAGACATTTACAGACATGATACTAAATACAGTAAAATGAGAAGCAAGAGAAAAATGGAAGAAATTAAGTTAATTGCAATAAAGCTGTGTTAACAATTTGGTTTTCGACTTTAAAAATGAACAATAAATGAAATCCAAAGGATTGGTGAGTTTACATGCTGTCTGAATCTCCCTAGATTGCGGCTTAGCTTGTTTGATTGTACTCACATGGAAAGACAAATACTGACTGAAAACCAGAGCCCAGAAAAATATTTATTTTCTAAACTACAAAGCTTTCTCATGGCTGCAGGCTCTGAAAACATCTAATTTAGCTGAAGAAGGAAGCCACTTGCCTTCCACTCCCTCCCCACAATAATTTCCCAATGAGACCTTACTTATGTGAACAGAACTGCATGAAAATGACACGGCCACAAAAACAGGTGAGAATTTATCACCATTAAAGGCAGAGTTGTTAAGAAGAAACACCAGATGTGTAAATTCAGCCTTGTTTTTAGTGATCTACAGGAAACGCGCCTGTCATGTCTCTTGTATTTGTGTTGTTTGTGCGGGTGGAGGGGTTGGAGACGTTGCCAGCAGCTGCAGAGGTGACTGAGGGGACGCCTGCCTGATGCCTGCTGGGCTTAGCCAACTCCCACCACTCCTCGTCACACTCTGCCTCCCAACTCCTCAAACATCCCACAGTTCTTTGCCAATCCTCATCTTCTTTCCTCCTGCCTCCACTCCACACAAGAAGCCCCACCCTTCCCTATCCTATCCTACACGCCCAGGCCACTGAGGAAGGGAGAAGGACGCCTAATGCAATTAGCACCCCTCTGAGCACTTTTGTGTTGATGAATAGAGGTGGTCTGGTGGGCCACTAGGCAGCTCGCTACCGTTCCCGCGCTGCTGGGTCTCTGAATATACACAAGCTGCCTGGCTGACGTCAGAGATGGACATTGTTTTGTGATGGTCACCATTTCTGCAACAAATGAGTTTCCTGGCCTCGGGGAACAGAGCAGTGCTAGTAAGGAACATTTGGGACCAGACTTATAAAGAGAAGTGTACATAACCACCATTTTAGTTAAATAAATATAATAAATCTGGGATCAAATGTATTTCGAGGATGTAAAAGAAAGCTACAGGAAACACTTAGGTGAGACTCTGCATATGTTAGCATTTTGACTCCAGAGTTATTAGGGAGTACCTGCAGGATAGCCCAAAGCTAAAGGTGACAGCTTTAAGTATCACATTATAATGGGTGTCAATGACCAAGGGCCACACTTTAGGACCTGAGGAGGGGGGAGGAATTAACTCCTCACTGCTGAGTAATTGCCTGCTGTAACAGAAACAAACTGAATCCTGCCTTCCACATTCTGATCCCTCTATTCAACAAGCTCTCTTTCTACTCTCTACCCACTCGCTGCATGCTGGGCCAGTTTAAAAGGCTGTGAGCTCGGGTTGAGGCACATTGTCTCAGACTTGAGCCATTTCCTGCAGATCAGTGGGGGTAAGAACCCAGTGCCGTGTTGGGGGAGGAGTGTTTTACACTTCAGGGATGGTGGGGGGGGGAGTTGTTTCAAGTCCATAAGCCCCCTTCTTTGCCTTTGTTCCTCAGCGGCCAACTTCTCACTCTAGGGAACTGAGAGTGTGACTCGATTTCACACACCAAGCTGGCACGGTGACAGAGGAACGAAAGTAACACGACTTACTAATAACCTTCAGGACGACGGGAACGCCAGCCTAAAGCGTTCAGGATGTTTGGATCTGTTAGCTGCAGACCTCAGCTTCAAACTGCTCACACTAACCAAGTTTAGGGGAAAGAATGAGCCTTAACACCCCAATAATTACAACATTTTGCTTAAAAAGAACTGACATAAAAAATGCACACATATAATTTTAAGAGAAAAAAATAGAAATATTAGCTCTAAATCTGCACAAATCTAAGCAGCAGATATTCTGAGAGCACTTTTTTCCTCCCATCACCGTGATGGGTGATCAACAGGTCAAATCCTGAAAGTGTTTCTCCTCACTAAATACATAAAAAAATGATTAAAAAAATAGTTTCTGGACAATAAACACATCTACTGCCCTATTCAGAGTGTAGTAAACATATGCTATTAATCCCAAATGAAAAAAAATTAGCTTAATTCTTTGTTTTAATTAGAGACGATTAAAAAAAAAAGGAAAAAAGGAAAAGGCTGATCAGTGCATCTCTAATCAGCGCTATTTGATTCTCCTGAAAAGTTAGAAAGATATCAATGCAGTCAATAAAAAGGAGGTGTTTCAACCTGTGTTTTCCGATTCAAGTGGTGATGGTAATAGCAAAACCTGCATGAGCTAAAGTGAAACTCCCCGTGTAAAAGATACCACAAAGCCCAAAGGGAAAAATTTAAAGTCTGATGCTGGTTAGTTAACCTTTCAAACACTTGCCTCTACTCTTTCAGGTGTTTAATATGCACACGTTTTCAGTCAAGCCTTACATTAAGATCACACATGAAAGATCTGATTTGCAAACAAATGAAGGTGTAAAAAAACTAATAAAACTATACTTTGGGAAATACAGGATTATAGTGACAGGAATTTAATATGAAGTGGATGAAGAGCTGCTTACCTGACCCAGCAAAATGAGTGCTGGCCAGAGTCATGGTCCTGTTCTTCCCATTGGCTACTGGAGGCGCAAACATCTGCAAGACAAAAGCAGAGATGATTTAACTAACAAAGCAAGGCACACTTCACACATCCCATTCCCCTTATAGCATCACACACACTTAGGCCTGGTTGGGTTTTTCTATTTCTCTTTACAACCTCTGGAGCTATGCACCACAAACGGATAGACTTAATAGCAACAATATGTTGTTGACAACACGAAAGCTGAACATGTTAGCAAATGAAGTTATTAGAACAAAGAAAGCCTTGCCAAACCTGTGCACACATCAGACACAGCCATCTAAAGCCAGCACTATGAGTAACATGTACATAAACTAACAGTGATGTCATTGAGCCACAGTGGGCTTCACCACAAGGCCATGGTGCGGTCTGGATCTTTCACCAGACACCGCACAAACCTGCCTGCTGCACAAACCTTACATTTTCTGAGCAAGGATACCAGAGCTAAATGTGCCAAAGCAGTGTATGATGAAGGAAATCAGCCATCTTTGCTTTGATCACATATTGAGCGATCCTGCTTCACTCTACGCCTGAACCTGCATGCTTCACTTTGACCAGAACAAAACAGGAAAAAAAAGGGAAAGTGCATATTTCTTAACGGTTCTTCATTCAGCTATCCTCATCATGCAAAAATAAGAGACGGTACTTGAACAATTTAGACTTACTCATCTTAAAAACGGATTGACTGTACAAATGAAGGCATGGCATTACATTCCATGCCTGGGTGAGGACTGTTTTGGAGGAATCATTGTGTCCTCCCAGAATTTAACTGTCTAATGGATGGAAGTAGGGAAAACTGCATCATATCGTATTAAACTACTTGACACTTATCTACCATTTCATTATCAATACCAGCCTATTGTGTAGTAAAGGACAAAACTATAAAAAAATCTATTTATAAAAACACAAAAACCTGCCTAACATGTATTTAATCTCCTTTATATTATGATCTTTTTTCCTAATATTTGCATCTTTTTCTTTACTTCTTCACTGGAAAACAATTTTTCTCCTTAATAAGTTTCTTTAATCAGATATTAAAGATTCTCTTAATATCGTTGTGCACTGCTGGTCAGCAGGCTTACGGACTGATCCAAGTCAAATTCAGCAGTTTGAAAATATATCAGATTTTAAAAACACAGACAGGCATTGCCTGGAAACTAAAGGAGAAACATCCAACCATTTTAAGGTTGCACCATTTAAAAGTACAATTAATAAGTTCCAAGTAGTATGTCTGTAAACTAAAGGGTGTATATAAGTGGACTGGCTAATATCAGCTCATTCAATTGGTGCTAGGATGACTGCAAAAAAGGAGTTTTAGTCATTTATTGTTTGCATTTTTTATTTGGCTGTGATTCCAATTTAAAAACCAAACGTCTATCAAAAAATATCCTTCACTTTTTTAGCTTCTATATTTATCATACGATAAAACATGATCAACAAGCAACCAGGGAGCTTTACTGAGTATAAGTAGATACAAATGCATGGTATTTCTCAAACATTACCTCTGCTAGCAAGCATGCATGAACTATTAAATACTTAATGAGCTACACAGGCTTTTCAGTTTGTTTGGGTGAAAAGACTAACACATCTCCACTGGAGCTATGAGATGTTTATGTCAGCGTTAAGCTGCAAAAGGTTTAACAACAAAATGAAACAAAAAAAAAAAGAAAAAAAAAAGGAGCAGAATGTCTCCATCCGCTTTGTAGATAATGTCAGGAGAATAGCTCAGAGCAGCAGCAGTAAAAATCTCTCCTGAAAATATGACAAAAAGACGACGCAGACGCACTCTGTTCAGCCCAGTTTAGAACCCTGCTTTTCCCCCCAAAGATCCTATTAACAAAATAAAGAGCAGGCAAAAAATATTCCAGTATTCTGTGCAGTGGTTTTGGTTTCCTTGTTTATATTCTGATCTAACAGAGTAATTGCACCAGGATTTTTTTTCCCCTCTGTTCATACATTACTACAACTAGATAACCTAAATAAAAAGCCAGGTTCACTAATATTATTATCCAAGTGTGCACTGCCAGTCAGCAGCCATAAAGAAGGCTGCTGCAAATTATTTTCTTAGGGGAATCTATCTGATTAGACAAAAAAAAAAAAATCACTGTGGGAAAACTAGAGAGGCTTCACCTACCAGTCTTATTAAGCTAACAACGTTGTTAAACTGCAGCTGGTATGTCTGGTGAAACGGTGAAATATAGGCTGGTTCCCAGAGCAGAAAGCCTGACTAACATTAGTTATCATGAGGGAAAAAAATAGATATACATTGTGCATGCTGTGCAGAGTCATACAGATACACTCAATGTTTGCAAACTCATTAGCTGTTGGTATGGCTGGGATTGCTATTCTACTTTTAAAATATTGCATCAATAAATAGAGCAGAATTTAAAGCAGACCTGAATCTCAGTTGTGTGTATTAGAAGTTGTGTAAAAAAGTTTATTTAATATTATTATTCTCTACATTAAGAATCGCTTTAGTGTTTTAGGGGCCCAGACTGGAAGACTTCAAATTAAAAGTTTTGATGAATTTGAAATTACTTTCAGCAACAACCGACTATAGTTACAGTAAATACCAGAATATGTCATCCATATCTCCAACCACATTTTTTTGAAAACTCTATACTTTTCCAGAATCAATTTCCAAGGTTTTTTAGACTTTTTGAGTATAAACAACCCACCCTAGTATGGTTTTATGTGCTGTATATTCCATTGCGCGTTGTTTATTAGCAGGTTAAGCTGATTCTACCTTAAAATTGTATTATTCTACACCAAATTCTGATTTTTGAAAAGCAATTTTTTTTAAACTGACACCTTAATTAGAGCTAAACAGATCAAGCGTGAAAACCAAAGATTTATATTTTAAACTTAGATCTAGGACAACACAGATGCAAAAAAAGAAAAGAAAAAAAAAGAAAGAAAAGAAAAAAGGTGGGGGTTTTTTACAGTTTGGATCAGTGGATTGACTTGCTTTGTGACTGCAAACTATTAAATAAGTTTAAGAAAATTTCAAATTGAGATGCGGCAATTCAAAAACAACAGATGCAAGATACATTAACTGTTTAATGCAAAATCCAGATTTTTGAGGGATATAAAAATAAGGAAAGAAGTCTAGTTTTCCATACTTATTTCCATGCTGCATAGGAATCCTGCATATATTTTTTGTAAGTTTATGATAATTTTAAAATAATTTATCTGCATTCTCCCTCTCCCCCCCTCCCATCTTCTCATACTCTAACCACCATCTTTAACTGCTCTTCATAATTCAGACCTGTATTGCACCGTCTCCTTCCTCCCAGAACCACCCAGACCGCTCTTCCCCCTCTCTTACCGCGCTGAAATCCAGGAGGTCGCTGAGTTCCTTGTCAGTTTCCACTGCAGCCATTCTTTGCTGCTGTTCGCTCATACCCTTCAGTCTCTAACAAACCCTAAGAGAGAAATTTGCAGATACAGGATTTTAGTTGCACTTGCGAGCACAACGAGAAGTTACATGTTCAAGAAAAAAATGATGATGGTAATGAATGACTGAGACTACTCTACTGCTGTCTGTTACATCACAACTTTGAAGATTTGTTTTTCCCTCTACCAGACACCAAAGCAGGGGTGCAGCAGCGACGTGTTTACTTTTAAAGCCACTTTGTGATTGCCAACAAATCTGTTCTTCCCCTTTAAACTACATGAAACACAATTTCAGGTCATAAGCAAGTGTTGTATATTCAAGAGGTTGAAAACAAGGCTGTAACTTGACCAAAACACACAGCTCAGATTACAACCTGGATGCATTATGGACCGATTGGGGGGAGAAAAAAAGGACAACACAAGGCTACATAATATGACCTGATGTGGATAGAGTCTACTTACATATTTCCCTTTAGAAACTGCATGAACTGATGAGCGCTCTGCTTTAAGTCAAATCACTTCCAAGTAAATATATCATATTTTTTTATCTTTCATTTTACACAACCCTGGCCAATAAAAGAACCACATGTCGATCACCGCTACATAAAAGAACTAACACACTTACAATTACCGACATAATTGGGACTATTGTTAGCCCAAGGAAATGGGGGTGAAAGGCAGAGCTAATGACTGTATGCAAACACGTCATTACCAAATTACCATATGTCAACTCAGAAAGAAGCTTGTCAAAAGAAACAGTGAGCATGAATACAGGATTTACCCCGTGTTTTCAATTCCAGTGCAAGCCCGGAGGCTTTCTCCCTCCGAAGCCGAGCGGCAGCAGCGGCGACGGCTCTAGGAGGAACTAGCGTTGAAGGGAGCAAGTGGAAGAATAGAGGCATTTGGACGCCAACAGGTGGAGTAGTTTTACGGCCTCTTTTTTAATTCAGAGATAACAGTCCAACGCAATGCGAACGCATTCAAAAAGAAAGGATTAAAAAAAAACACGTGGAACGGAAAGTAAAGGGATAAACCTGATCTCAAGAAATTCATCTAGTTTTGCTCAATGACAATGTTTAAAGAAAAGGCCACGTGGTAGAACATCAGCTAAGTTCAAAACAAACTAATTTAACATCACAAACATGACTAAAAGGGGGCGTATGGCACGGTGAAGGAGGTACCTGACAAACTTTACAAGTACAATCTACCTATGAGGTGGGTGGTGTGAGTGGGGGTGGGCTTTTATGTAGCAAAATGGCATCTTCAGCTACTGCTGGATCAATATTTGAAGCGAGCAGATTAGAGGTGGCGGAGGGGGTCTTTGTCACCCCAAACAAAGAGGAGAAGAAGGGTCATTCTCCACAAAAGAGTCTGCACCTCCAGTTAAGAGGCACCACTGTTGTAACCAACGCTATACATCTTAATCCTAATGACTGGTTTACATTCAGTAAAACAAACTAGAGATAAGCAGAGTTGCAAAAATTACAGAAGTGTGTTTAATGTTGCTATACACAAATATCAAGTATATGTATTAGCTGTACTAAGTTTTTATAAAGATTTTATTTAGAAAGATTAGAAAAATAGCCCATAATGTTTCTAGTTTGTTCTAACGAGGTAGAAGAGAAAGCAACAGATTGACCAACTTTATTTCCAAGTTTATGAAGTACAGAGTAACTTAGCGATGCAGCAATCCCCTTCCTGCACACTGTCGGCCAGCTGCCAAAAAACAACACCCCCATTGCTATCCAGACATAAAGTCTTTGGTTTAAATTACAAAACAAAACCAAAAAAAAAAAATATTGGTAGTCCTAGCTAAACATTAGTAAAAATAGTAATACATGAGACTAATTATTTAATGCGCTTTGCAGAAAAATCAACAAAAAATTACAGATCCTAATATGTTAATCAAAGTTTTATCCAATTTAATCACCAAAAGATTAAGACTTGTATGTGTTTTTGTTTTTTCTGCCAATACCAACTTCCAGATCCAGTTCCAGTTGACCAATGTCATTTCTCTCAAAGGACCAAAACAGAGCAGGAGAATTTAGGCTTTCATCCAGTAAGATCCTTTCTAATCCATTATGAAAGAATTTACCAGATTAATCCCAAATATGCTTTTATACCTATGCGTATCATCACCTGATTCCTGTCAAATCAATGCAATGCGAAACTATTTAACAAGACAAACAATACAAAAGCAGCAACCGACTTTTTTTAGTTTCTGGCCTACTAATCTCTGGTAAAACCAATGACAAAAACAAATCCTGTGATTCTGCTCTCAATCAGGTGCAACTCTAGTTGTATTAAATAAAATTATTTAAAGTTTTTATTTTATAATTGAGCATCTGTTTCTGAAACTATTGCATGTTTCGCTTTAGGTTATCAAATGATAAACTTTCATACCAACCCATGCCACAGAAATGTCAGCCTAGTTGGATAATAAAAAAATGATGCGAAGTCTAAAGTATAAAACTGAAAATGGCAGTGCAGATAAAAAAAAATGCATTTTAGACAGAAATAAAAATGCAAAACGCAGTAAAATACGAAATAAAGGGATGGAGAAGTTGGATAAAACCCTTCTTAATACCGCCTGTAGAAGCATCAGAATGTGATCAGGACCACTAGGCCCAATCCAACTGCTGACAACGAACCAATTCTGTTTACTGTGAGCTTTGTTGACATTATGCATCAGATTAACCAAAAACCATAACAAGTGCATCCATTACAACCAAGAGGAACAGGCTCCAAACTTCTAGCAGCACATTTGAAGCTACTATTGGGGTTCTGGTCGTGCATTATGAGGGAGATGAGTGGAGGAGACGGTGGGGGTGGGATCAGGAGGAATTTCCTGCCAAATGTGCAATAAAATAAGTAGTGGCCAGACACTTCCATAAAGGAATGTTTAAAGGGCCACCAATGGGGGGGCTGGGGGGAGTTTATGGAAAGTTTGGTTCATGTCTGCAAAGCAAATGATCCAGATCACAAAGTTTGGAGAAAATACTCCCCCCCAGCATTAACAAAATTATTTAACGGTCCAACTTGAGTAGCTGGAGTCTGCGGCGATTAGGGCACACGGTGAAAAACAAAGAGTCAAAGCCAACAACATTTAACCATAAAGGAGTCATTTTGCAGAACAAAGGAGTAATTTCCTCCACTCGGAGGTCGAGCCGGAGACCAGACAAAAAAAAAAAAAAAAAACTCACATCCCCCGCTTAAACCACACATTCCCTGAAAAAAAAAAAAAACTTTTCGAAAATTAGGTGCCAATGAAACCCCAATGAAATCCATGCAACAACCCCCTAAAGAGTAAAGTGAAAGAATAGGTATTTACCTCTCCTCTCCGTGTGTGATATCCAACAGTGAAAAAGAAAAGCGGAGACTCGAAGGGGGGAAAAACATAAAACTTCAAGAGAATTTCGACCTCAGTGCATGAAACGCATTGGAGCACAGTGGATGTCTTTCTTTTGTCCCCGGGAAGTCTGCCTTTTCTACACGTAGCGCCCACGTGTGTGCTACAATGTAAAGCGACTGGGTGCAAACAATTCTGCTATAGTAACTAATCTCGCGTCTGCCTTTCTTGTTGTTACTACAGAGATGATTTCATTCTTCTCGTAGACATCTTCACCACCTCCGTCCACATTGTCAGACGTAACAACGTATCCGTCCGCGAAAAAAAGTGAGGGCCTCAGCGCCAGCGGTGTCCGATTTCAAACGCCTTTCGGATATAACGGGGGTTTCCAATAAACTTTAACAGACGAAATTGAGCTTTCGACGATTCTGAAGCAGAAAAAACGCCTACTTACAATTTTCGGAAGGAGTAATTTTTACACATGCGAATAAATACCAGCACTAGGTCACCCAGCGGAAGGCTATTGCAAGAAAGTTGCCTCCTATAACACAGCAGCGGAGCGACGAGATGGCACGATAAATGCAAATGGCTTCAGCCAATCTAAAAGCGTGATTGTTTGATTGACAGCAAAAATACCCAGTGTGCTTTAAGAAATCCAGCTTGAGCCCGCCCATTTGTTGACGCTCACTTTCGCTGTGTGCACAGGGAGGCTGGCTAAAGGGGGCCTCCAACATGCCTGCTGACATCATTTTAATACTTAGGTTGGAGGCTCCGCTTTCGATTATTCATTAAAAAAAACATTTAACAACCTGAGGAGCTGCAATATGTTATATTTACTATAACTAAAGCCCAGATAGTCTACATAATTTATAATATTATGTAACCAAGCACATTTCTGTGTGATTTTGTTCTAATGAAAATTAAAAGGGGATACATGCATTCTAGCTATTATGGCAATAGGATATTTTCCATTCAGCATGCACAGCAAATGCACATCACGGTTAATGTTATGGACTAACTACGGAAGAGGATTAGGGCCACTGGGAAAAAAAAAAAAAAAGTAAACTGATTTTTAAATTTTATTTCAGTTTAACATGGGAAAAAAGTCAGAATTCTGAGATTAAAGTCAGAATTCTGACTTTTTTTCCCATACTATACTGAAATAAAATAAAAATAAAAAACAGTTAACTTTTTTTTTTCCAGTGGTCCTAATCCTCTTCCGTAACTAACAGTATTGTTGAATGTCTTAATTTATTCAATGAATGATGTAAAGGGTAAATAGCAGATTAAAAAGGGTCCCTGATCAGAGACAGTCAGGGGAAATAATGAATCAATGAAATGTATTGTTATTATTATTATTATTATTATTATTATTATTATTATTATTATTATTTTTGTTGCTGTTGTTGTTATTATTATTATTATCATTATTATTATTACATAGCTCCCTTTTTGTGAATGAACTGGCAAACATAAAACCAACCCACCCCTAGTAACTGCCCTCTACAGACCAGAATGGAGAGGAGGGAGGGAGTGCAGAGTGAAATAGTTCAGGGCCAACACTTCAAACGGGGAGGGCACTCAAAGCATACATTTTTCTGTTATATCATATTTCTTCTTTTTGGGAGAAAATCAGTCTTAGAATTGAGCAACTATTCAGTGGTTATTATTGAGACAAACTAAATAAAAACAGGACATTAGATGTCCCAGTTACACACAAGCCGCAACCTGTCTTTGTTATTTACTTAACTTGCACAAAACACCTCTAGTTGTGTTGCACTCAACTGGAAACGCGCACCAACTGTTCATTTTAAAAGAGTATGTAGGTGTTAGACAGCTGTCGGATGTAACCTGAGGGCAAAACTTGACAACAAAGAAAGAAGTTTTAATAAACCTTCTTTGTTTCCTTTCTTGGTACCATGGCATCTATGCAACAAACAAAAAAAAAAATCCTGATGACTTCTTAAGATACCAAATAACCAGCCCAAGAACTCCTTATCAAGCAGTCATCAGCAGTATCTCACATAGGGACTTAACCATAACCAGTATGCTATCATTGAGTTGGCTTATTGGGCATGCTGCCCATGCTTTGGGCGTGAACATTAACTGTAAAGATACATGCAAATTCTGTCAAAGCTTTCCAGCATTTATTTACCAAGAAGTTACCAGTGAAAGGGGGGAATTATTGTCAGTAGGTCATATAGGTAAATAATTCATCAACTGTGGTCCCCTGGGTTACAGAACAATCCTTAGCACAAAACACTAGATTTGTGGTCCATCCATAAATGCTTTAACAAACAGATCAGGCACACGCTCAGGTATTGCAAACACACA